TGTTTATACTTGCTGTGATGAAGGTTGGAATCCACTTCTTTATATATTTCTTTTCTTTTTCTTTATTATATTCTTTCTTTTCTTTTTTCTTCTTTTTTCCTGCACTTTTTATTCTTTCTTTCCATTCTATTTTCTTTAAGTTTAGTTTATATTAGTTTTTACTACTGTAATTAAAATTCTTAATAAAAATTATCTATCTATCTATCTATCTATCTATCTATCTATCTATCTATCTATCTATCTGGTGAAAAGATGGAAGAGAGAAGATTCAAAAAGTCCTAGGCAGGGTTGAAACTAAAGCTGAAATGAAAAGGATGGAGTTTAACAGGAATAAATGTGAATTTAACAGGACTGAGCATATAAACACTACCTGTCATCCTGTCACATGATTGCCCAAACAACCAAGTGTACCTAGAGGTGATAAGCTCACTATGGGAAAACAGCCAGAAGTAAAACAGATAAGGTTTTCATATTCACACAAAATGTCTCATGGAGATTAGGTGGGGAGCAGAAGAGGCACGGGGGAGGACAGGAGGTTGAAACAGATGAAGGAGCTGGCAAGAAAAGATTCTGTAGTTCAAGCTGGAGAGATGGCCAAAAAAAAGATAGCTGACAAATGATGTTGGATTCAGGCAGCTTTGGCTGCTGAAGATCTGGAGGTTCCAGCATGGAACAAATACCACTAAAAGTTTGTACATTCTGGGTGAAGATGGAGGGGTTTTGGGTGAAAATGGGGGTCCTGTTGGATTCACAACTCCTGCTCTGTGTTGTTTAGCCAGACCTCCCATATTGCTTATTATTTATTGGATATTGCTTTTTAAAAATCTTGTTTTGTTATATTGAGAGCCATCCGAACCTGGTCTGGAGTTGGGTGGCACTGAAATCCAACCAATCAATAAACGTGACAGATGGAGGATGATCAAACTTTGAGGAATCCTGTCTATCTGGCAGAGAGAGAGGGAGAAGATCTGAAGATCTAGGTGTGACAGCTTACCAATTAAGCTTGGTCTGAAGCCTTTGATTAACCCTAAGGGGAATTTAGAAGTTGCACATAACAATAGCTTAAGTCTAGTGATTTCAGAAGAAACACTACTTTGCAGTCAGGGAAATAGTTAACCACTGAATGGCAGAACAATTGGAGTTGTAACTGAATGTTTTTGCTGTCATCCAACCTTTTTTATGGCAGATCCTCAGGAGAAGGGATGGGAGGATCTGCAGATCTATTTGTTTAATATGTGCTAGCTTAGAAACTCTCAGGGAAACCAAAGTTTTTCAATCTTGCAATGCTACAGAAAACCACCTGATCTGATTCACAAAATGGTTTGTCTGTGTGATTTTGTTTGTCCAGTTCTGTGAACCCCCGCACATACCACATAATAGTAAAATTCTGCATCTGGGAAGGAAAAATATAAGGCATAGATATAGAATGGGGAAAACTGGCTTTGCAGTAGTACATGTAAAATAAATCCATGTCCTTGTCAACCACAAGTTAAGCATGAGCCAGCATGGTGATGCAGCTGCCAAAAAAGCAAATGCCATTAACAGGAGGACAAAGTTCACATCATAGGAAGTAAATGGTCTACTCTATACTGCCCTGGTCAGACCCCATTTGGAGCACCACAGTTCAAAAGGACAATGAAAAATGGGAGCAAGTTCAGAAGAGGGTAACCAAGATGATGAAGAATAAAGAAACCAAGCTCTATGATGATCTGGATGTGTTTAGAGAAGAGACAGCTAAGAGAAGACATCAGAACGGTCATTAAATATCTGAAGGGGTTTCACACCGAAGAAGGAGTTTTAGAGAAGAGACAGCTAAGAGAAGACATCAGAACGGTCATTAAATATCTGAAGGGGTTTCACACCGAAGAAGGAGTTTTAGAGAAGAGACAGCTAAGAGAAGACATCAGAACGGTCATTAAATATCTGAAGGGGTTTCACACCGAAGAAGGAGTGGGCTTATTCGCTATTGCTCCAGGGAACAGAACCAGGATCATTAGGTTAATGTTATAGCAAAGAAGGTTCAGGCTAGATATCACAAGGACCTTCCTAACTGTTCAAGCCATCTGCCAACAGAACAAGCTGCCATGTGAAGTGGTGAGTTCTCCTTCACTAAATGATCACCTGTCAGAGAGGCTGTGATGGGTCCTGCACTGAGCATGGGGTTGACCAGAGGACCTCCAAGGTCCCTCATGGTGCTATGATGTTCGGTCATTTTATGAATACTGTCTGTCAAATTAATGTTGCTAAGCAATCCAAAGCCAAAGAACATATGTCTTAAATATGACAAATTGCCTCTCTCCCAGCCTTTTGGGAGCTTATATATTTGGGGATGAGAGGTGCCTTTAGAAAGGCTTTCATTGACGGGGATGGATAGGTAATGCTTCCCTCTGGTCTTCTTGTTGGATTTTTTAAATCACATTTAATGCTGGTTTTCATGATCTCCACCCATGTGGACCAGAGTTCCTCTTATCAGTTCAGAAGATCATTGTGGCCTTTCCTTTCTACTGGACCCACATATTTCTCTCTGTATGGAATAATAAAACCAGTGGTTCCATTAGATTTTTATACATATACATTTCATCTAAAACATTCTACTTATGAGTCTCAGCTTTTCCAGCGATGCTGCTTTTAAAGCAGAAAGAAGACTCATTTGCACTTGGAACAGACAGGCTTTAATAATTGCAGCCTCTTGTAAAAATTCACCAAAGCATTCTTCTTTTCATAGTGCTTCCGTATCTATCTATAAGGCTATTCCATCTCATGATGGAGAGAAAATCATCTATTGCTTGCTGCGACTGCAGTACTAATATGAGTGCTTGATCACTTTTTAGATTCTTCTCCCCCATTATCCTGTTTTTGCGTGTCCCCAGCTTGATGCATTCTTGAGCTGGCAGGAAAGGCATAAAAGTAACATCCCTTTCACAAAAAAATGAACTGCAGAAACAAAGGTTCAGGCTTCTGAAAGCAGTCTAACAAAGTTTTGTAAGCTAAAAAGTTAAAATCGAAGGAGACAGGAAATAATAGAAAAAGTGCGTTTTACATTTTAGAAAAGTTTGTTATTTTATTTTTTTCTGACCCTGAATTAATCTGGAAACTAGTTAATTCCTAGCTTCAATGAATGCCTCTTGTTTTTGAAGATAATAAACATGCATCAAATAGCACATAGCAAGAAAGGGCTGATTAGACATATTTAAGCCCGAATAGTAATGTCACAAATAAATTACTGTAGCAATAATGTCATGTCTAATTTTGCAGAGAAAACAAATTTTTGAACAAAAGAAAGAACAGTTTTTCTTACATCCTTATACTTATTGAAAATTGCATTTTTGCACAAGACAACATTTCTTGAGGCTAATCACCACAGACAGATATCAAAAGAATTAACATTTCTCTGAGTGCAACAGGGTAACAGCAACTATTATAATTTCTAAAGCCTACCTCTTAAGTTGTCTGTACGAGGTTTTATTATGAAAACATAAGAGGTGCTTGCTAGGTGTGATCATAGGCACATTTTGTCTCTTGCTATTAAGAATGATGAGTAAGATACTTTCAAGAAGCCCACCAGTAAGGTACGAAAGCAACAACCTATATAACGTTTTTGTCCCCTATGAACTCTCGTTCTGATTCTACAGTACATCGTGGCACTTATTTTCAATTTCAGGTTACATTTCCACAAGATTTTACAATGGGAGAGAAGGCTAAATGACAAACTAGTTAGAGGTTGTTAGAGATAAAAAGCAGATCTGTACCCCAAGATTCCCCAAAGGGGAGGAAAAACATATATTGGACCTGAATAATGCATTTTACCCAAAAGGATGTACTGTATATTACCCAAAATACACAAGCCAGGTCACCCAAGTGACCCCACTATTTCACACACCAGAACAATCAACAGCATTCCAAATTATATAAAAGACAGCATAGGCTTCCTGAGAAAGTGGAATCTACTGATGGTCTCCTGGATCACCCCATCCCAACAACCATGGATGTTGAGACGATATATCCCAACATCCCCCCTAGAGATAAACTGTAGGCTATTTGAAACATCATCATTGACAACGCCAAAGTACATCTAGCCACCAGGCTCTGAAACTTCACATTTAGCCCAAATAACTTTATCTTTGATAACCCTACATTTCTGTTAGCTGTGGTGGCTGGCCTGTGATTGCGTTTGGACCACCACTCAGTTTAAAATAGCTACTCACCCACTGTAAGAGATAACATCACAACAACCCAAAGATGAGAAACAAACCTTGCTAATTCTTCCCCCGCATTTACAACAACAATTCCATTACAGGCCCACACAACATCACCTACAATGTTAGGAAACATCACTTACAATGTCAGGAGTGCCTTCTGATTCTCATCTTCTGATATCTGTCATCATGTGCTAACAATGCCCTTCCAGATTCTACATGGGACAAACTAGCCAGACCCTGTGCAATATCGTACATAGGAACTCAGAGCTCATACCAGCAACAAGACAGCAGCACATTTCAGCCTGCCAGGCCCCTCTCTCACTGACCTCAAAATATCAGGGATAGAAACAGAGAAACTTGGCCACCACTATATAACAAGTGACAATCAAATGTCAATCCAGTAAAAAAATCCAATCCAGTCCAGAAGCCTTGAACAGGGAGAGTAGATTTTTAGCCCATTAACTTTGCAAACTGATAAGGTAACATTCATCCCCCACCCCCTTCTATGAGATCTTCTCAATCTCAGCTATTGCATAATCCCATCCACTTGCCACTATTTTTCCACCCACCCTCTTCCCACCATTTAACTCTCTATATTTAACATCATGTAACAGCGAACCTTATCTTTGCATCTGATCCAGTGAACTCATGAAACTTTATGCCTCAATAATGTTGATCAGTTGAGAAGGTGTCACCAGACTCCATGTATTCTAACTTTGCAAAGGAAAGAAACCTTTAAAATACCTTCACATTTGTAATTTCATATTCAAGTAAGCCAGAAAATATCATCTGAATCCTTACCTGCTACTGAAACTTTGGCTGTTCGACTGATGATGGCCCCAGTTCCTTCTAACGATGCTTCACATTGATAGAGGCCTTCATCAGGTTTATGATGTCTGGAATGGACAATATTTTGTATCAAAAGAGAACCATTGGGAAACTGTTGTCTTCTTTCATCCACTGCCAAGTTTAAAAAGACTCCGTCCTTTTTCCATTTGATTACAGGAAACCCTTGATCTGATTCTGCAGTGCAGTTGAGCAAAACATTACTTCCCCGGGTGGTAACAGCATCTGAAGGCTCGATCAGGAAGTGCAATGTTGTAAATCCCATAATCTGTGTACCTGTTGGGATTAATAGCCAAGAATAATCCAGTTAGTCATATGCCAGGAAAGCCCTGTTTCTGCCAGATGAATATGATCACCAAAATGAGAAACTTGCCTGAACTTTTTTTTTTTTTTTTTAAAGTCCTTAAAATGTCCATTGTGGTTTTGCCTGGGCTGGAACATTAAACTTAATTTTGATTCTAATTTTAGGGGAAAAAATCTGACCACAATTTAAGGTTGTCAATGAAAATAATCTACCTAGACATAAGTGTTTGTTTTGAACCACAATGAAACCAAAATGAGGAAACATATCATTGATGTCACTTGTGGTTGTAGCATTACACATAAATATGCAAGGGTCAGAGTTTATATTGCAACAATATGAAATAGTTTCATCTCACCACCACCACCACCACACACACCTCCATTCTCTCTTGGGTGCTTATGTACCTAAACAAAACTTAAATTTACCTTGAAGTTTGCTTTGGAAAAAAAAAAATGATGGTAACTTTTCAATGCTCTTTAAGGTAAAGTAGTATTTCCCAAACACACTTAGTCAAGTATATATTTGCAGCCTAACAACTGTGCAAACAAAATAATGAGGAAAGAGAGACTAATTTGCAGTTTCAGAATTCAACCAAACTCCCCAAGGCCTTTGAGTTTCCAAATCTCAACAGCATGTTGAAAAAGAAATAGTTAGCATCAAATTCATCTAAAGCAGATGCCTAACAATATCTTAAGATCTAATTCTCTTTAGAGGGTTCCGCTTGGCTTCTACTCTAAGTGTTTTATTATTTCTATCTTGGTCCTCTGCACATAGAAGAATGTAATCCCCAAAGGATATCAATTATTCAAGAGTTTACTTGAATGAACCAATTCACAGAGAAGGTGAAGCAATTTCTGAATGCCACAGAGTCCCACCCCATATCATATATCTGATTATATGATATTCTTTACAGTTTCACAAAACTCAGTACAACAGCATTTTATAATTCTGAAAGGCAGGAAGACACCAAAAAAAGGTACTAAGATCTTTAGTATCCTCTGTATTGAGATTTCTCACAAACTTATTAAGATTTCCTAATATGATTTGTGTGTGTGTGTGTGTGTGTGTGTGTGTGTGTGCACACGTGCCTTTGAGTCAGTATTGATTCCTGGTGACTGCCTGGACTAGTCCCTGAATTTTCTTGGCAGTATTTTCAGAAGTAGTTTGCCATTACTTGCTTCCTAGGGCTGAGAGAGAGTGACTGGCCCAAGGTCACCCAGTGGACTTTGTGCCTAAAGCAGGACTAGAATTTATAATCTCCCAGTTTCTAGCCTGGTGCCTTAATCCCTACAACAAACTGGCTGTCTAATATGAAATATCAACACTTAAAATATGAGTGTATATCAAGGTCAAGAAGTCAATAGGAACAAATATTTGAAGGGTATGGCTGGTGTGGGTCTTCCGGGCTGTGTGGCCGTGTTCTTGAAGTTTTGTTTCCTAACGTTTCGCCAGCACCTAACTCAACTCCCCACACATACCCCCAATCCCCCC